TTCCATCCTCTCCCTCCTTGCCCTTCACCCCCTTCCTCACAGCACGTTCTCACCCCAAAGCACATATCCAGCCCGGCTCAGGGATGTTCCCTGTAGGGAACAGGCAGGTTTGGGAAGGGCTGAGCTCCCTTATGCCTGCTAAGGCTGAAAAACATGGATTTGGCATTGCAGCTGGTGAAGGGAAGCCCCTCGGGGCCTGTACTCTCCATCAGCAGCTGAGCACTTGTGTTCACCCACTAGAGAGCGTGTGACTGCACAAAACCAGCACAGCATCCAGGCTCCTGAGGGATCCCGTTGTTCCAGAGACATGCAGCATCCTCCTCTGTATTCTGTTACGTTCTATTTATTAACAGAGTTCTTCAAAAAGCATCCTTAGAATTCATGGCTTCAGCTGGTCCCAGGGGATTCAACCCATCCCTTTGGCTCAGCAGCCAAAGCCCTTTTCTACCTGACAGCATTTATAGTGAGGAAAGTACCAAGTACCTGTTCCTTGCTCAGGAATTGCCTGGGAGGGCCCCGGGAGCTGCAGGGACTTGCTGATCTCAGCCTAAGGTCTGGGCAGCTTCCAGAGGAGAGGCAGGAACAGGGCCAAGGAGTGGGAGCTGGCACGGGCCGGAGTTCATCCCATTTTGTGCCAGCTGGGTGTTGCTGTTCTTCCTGAAGGGAACAGAAGCACAGTTTTCTCTCTCTGTCCTACACTTCCCACAGTACAAAACAGTTCACCGTGGGTTTCAGTGACATTGCTGAACTTCTGTTGTCTCAGCTGAGCCCACAGAACCAGAAACACTCCCCTCAAGAGAAAAGCAAACAAAATGTAGTGCATAGAGTTTGTTTGCTCCCATACATCCCATCAGAGGAAAGGGGGATTTAACATAGGGGGGCTGCCGTGTTCCAGCCAGGATTATGCCAGTGAAACAGGAGAGCAGGGATTAGCAGGGAGCCTCCAGTGTAACGTGCTACAAGTCCTACCTCTGATTTATGTGCTGCAAAACCTTCAACCAGCGAATGATCCCTGTGATTACAGCGTTGGGTGCAAAGCTGCAGCTGGGTACCTGGGTACCACTGAAGCTGACAGGCATGAAGAAGATGGGATGTGAACAGGAGAGAATCCTGGGACCACTTTAAACACCTTTAGCACTAGAAGCAGCACAGGGGGGAGTTAAGCTGAGCAGTTTCAGCTCTGCAGAGCTGGGCAGATGGGCTTCTCCAGCTCTCCAGGCTGCCTGATGTAGCAAAGAGAGGCGAAATAAATCCTAACCATCACGTGAAGCTGTAAGAGAGCCCGGGAAACATCTGGGAGCTGTTTCATCTCAGGAGCAGTGAAGTCATCTGCTGTAGCCACTGATTTCAGTTGACTCTGAGGAATGAAAGCAGGGTGCTGAGACTGCTGCTGCCTGAAGAGCGGATGGGGAAGTCCTAGTCACTTCCTCCTGCAGATGTGAGGCTGCTTGCTGGGTACCACAGCCCACACGCATCCTGCTCTCTGCGTGCCAGCAGCAGGGATGGGAGACAGCATTTTTTTTACTAGCTCTTAAAATAAGCCTGGGATGACTAAATTGCAGCAGTGGTACCTCAGAAATGAGTAACTGCTTCATTTCCTCAACATGGAGGAGTTCTTGCTCCATTCCTGCAATTATTACACTAAACGGATGATCAAACTTATGCAGAACCCCCCCCAAAATCCAACTCCTCCAAATCCCAACCCTTCCTCCCACACCTGATGCCATGAACCTATCTCCAGCTCACAGCAAACACCTTGGATCTCAAGATGCCCCACTACAACGTGAGCAGATCTTGCTCTGCCTCAATTAAAACGTTGTGCAAGGAAGGAGTAACACTGAGGTGCATTATACTTACAGGAGTCAGAATATGTATCAAGGTGAACATAGCCCTGAAGCTTAAGGTATGTGGGAGCTGCCAAAACTGTTCATTAGCTGACAGGATGAGGAGAAGTAATTGATGCATGAACAAAAGCAACAACTCCAGAGCAAACGCAGCCTTGAAAGCTCTTAGTGAAGAGTTACACAGTGCAGATGGTCTTCTGTAACCAAAGAGACAGCTTAAGGGTTCTCAAGATCAAAGGTTGTTTAACCGAGGAGGCAGCTTGCAGAACTTTATGTAGATATAGAAGGTAAATTCACTCCTACCATCTCTGTGTAAGATGACATCTCTCCAATCCAGTATGAATTGACTGGACTGCAAGAGGAAATGGCTTGAGCAAGTCAAAAGATGCCCCTATTCAGATACCTCCTGCTGCTCACAGTGGCCAAACCCAAATAACAAGCACCTACGTTACACAAAAGCCTACAGCTATGGGTAAAGCAGAAGCAACGTTAAGAGCCTAGCAGATACTTCAAGCAAAAAGTGTTATCCCCAAAGAACTGCACTTCAGGAACCCCCGGGAGGCTTCAGTTCAGAAAGGGCACCTCAAGGCAAAGAGAGCTTTAACAAACACCCAGGTTTAGTCACGTACTTTAATCCCACATTTCACTGGGATTTAAGTGTTGGCTTCATTCACGCACACTGAACTTTCCCAGTTCACTGGATACGAGCCAAAGGAAACGGGTGCCTCTTGCAGCCTGCCCTGAAGAACCAGAGCATTTCACCTTTACCACCAGCGATTAAAGCAGTTTGAACAGTTCCCAAAGGCAGTGATGCAGTAAGAAAATCCCTTTCCATCACCATTCCCTGTCAGGGAGGGCTCAGAATGATATTCACCCACACAACTGCCACAGGCAGTTTTGTCAGATGATGGCACAGGTCCCTCTCCAATCTTTAGTTCTGTTACCATGTTCTTACCATGGAGCTCTGAGCAACCTGGTCAAGTGGAAGGTGTTGGAATTGGAGGAGCTTTAAGGTCCCTCCCAACCCATTCTACGATTCTGTGGTCACATACAGTTACACTTCAAGCATGTCCCATACAGATCCTCACAGGTTAATCAGTTCCTACCTAGGCTAACAGGGCTGTGCATCCTCGGGGCACGTACTACACTTGAGCACTAATCATGGGCTGCCGGAGCTCTCCGGTAGCACTGAGCAGCTCCTCCACTGTCAGCACCAGCTGTTGCTTGCTGATAGTTCTACCTCCTGCCAGGAGACAGCTCTCACACCAGCGCTGCTCCAGGAGCCTGCCTGTGTCTCCAAGGGTGCACCTGCAAACAGAGCAGCACACACAGGGGTGAGTTTAACCACTGGATTCTTTCTCTAGCCACGTTTCCCAAGAAAACTGAAAGTATTACTGCGACTCCTTTGGCTATCTCCATGAGCTGATGGAGAGGATCCCCTGGGCTCCGGCAGCGGTGCAGTTGGGGTAGCAGAGCTAGAAGGAATGTAAACTTGTTAGCAACCAAAGAAAACCTTTGAAGTGCACAGCTGAGACACCTGCACAGGCCCAGGGCGAAGGTGTACTTGACTGGAGCTGAAGCTCATGATTCAGACTTCCCCTTCTATGCTTTGTTTTAATCAAATTTGAGGGTTTTTGAACTGGAAGGAGTAGAAGAATGTAACAACGAGAATATAGCAACTGCACATGCACAGATATACTGTTTTGTGGACAACAGTTTATTACACAATAAGCTTTTATACAAAACAGGAAACTGTGACAAAGTAGTAGCTAAATATTACAGTACCAGACCATGGGTCAAGCTGTAATTCACCAGTTGTGAGTCACAGGACAGTTAATGCACAGGTACCTCTCAGTCATCAATAAATACTTCACTACTTGGTACCCTCCAGGAGCAAGGAGACAGTCAGAGACTCGAGCTCCTTTGCAGGTTACTTCAGGCATTGCTATCACTCTGGATGTAACTACATTAATACCCATGTACCTAAACCCACCTTCAGCCTGAAGACCCACACATCTAGTTAATGATGCAGTAACATTCCCATCTGAAGCTTGGCATGACCACGTAGAACAAGAGCAAACATTAACAAACCTACTATGTCTGTTCTGACCAAACCATGCAACCTGAGTATGTGAAGCAGTTTGGTTGAGCAGAACTGACAGAGATCAATAGACTCTGCCATAGGTAAAGAACCTGGCAGCCAGCCCAGCCTGGGTCTATCCATTCCCCTTCTTCACCAAAGCACTAAAGCACTGTATGGAAGTCATCTGCCTTTCCACAGAGGATCAGCTTCCTCTGGAGGTGCCTGGGCCTTCTGAGCAGGCTTTGTTGTCAGCTTTAAAATCACTACAGTCAAGCAAGGGCTGTGTTCAAGAGCACCAGCCCTGGAGAACCCCAGTTTCCACTCACCTGGCCTATTCATTTTCAGCCTTCCTCATGCCTTGTTCTGTGACTATCTATGCAATGCTCCACTTGCTGTGAACAGGCCTTTTCCTCACATCTCCACTTAGTGTTCTTCCAGAATATGAAAAACCACCTTTCCAGAAATCAGTAAAGTCTTCAGCGTCTTACCTAAGGGAAAGATTATCCTACCAAGAGCAATCCACCACTGCATGAACCTGTGGCTTTGCTCCCTCTGACCATTGTAGTTCTCTCAAAGACAAGAAGCAGCTCAGCTCAGGTTTGGTTTTCCTTGCACAGCTCTTCATCCACATGTCAGCTGCTGCCAGACTCTGGACTCCTGACCATGGGAGAGGAGAATGCAGGCAAAGCTGACTGTCAGCTGCATCCAAAGGACTGGAATGTCAGTGTATGATCCTAATACATACATGAGGAAGGAAAGAAACTGAGACTTGAAGGAGATATCTTCTTAACACTGGATGGACTATTAAACCATGGTATCTTCAACCTCTGTAAAACCCCCCTCTCTGCTGAATTCATTTACATTATGTGTCATATACTCATCGGGAAGCTGCTACAACATGCATGAACACGTAAACCCTTATTTGAGTGCAGGATGCAAGAAGAAATCCATGGATACTGAACAAGTGAGGCTGAAAGGAGAAGGGTGTGCTTATCGTCCTGGGGCTAATGGAGTTTTAAAGTCATATTAAATCTTAGAAGACATGGAAATTCATTTTCCATGTCACATCACAGCTACTGCTGCTTAGAGAACCTCAGCTTGTCCGAGAGAAGGAATTCCAGTTCAACAGTATCATCAGTGGTCTCTACTGGTACATTACTCTCTTCCACAGGGGGTTGGTAGTTCCCTACTTCATGCGTTGAAGCCAAGATCCCATTGCAGGAACATGCCTCTGGTTGTCTGATGCTGTCTGAGCAAACGTGGTTTGGAAGGTAAATGCCTGGGCAGGAATTTGGCTGGCAGTGACTAGGGACGAAGTATTCGGTTGCCACTGGACTCGATTCCATGTGATTAGGAAAAGGATTATTGGCCAGGCAACAGGTCTGGAGACAGTGGTTGGTTTTGAATCCATGATGAAGGCCCAGTTTAGCGATAAGGGGCTTCCCAACATTAACTTCCTTTCTTTCATCCATCGTATATTCTAGTCCTGGGTACTCATAGTGCAAGCAAACGGTGAAGATCAAGTGTTCCTGCAAAAGAGGAAATGGGGGGAACACAAAGAGTTACGCTTCTTCCCCAAATAGGCAACACAGGAAACACTTAAAGCAGCACAGTCCACTGCAGAAGGACACTAACCTTTGTAGGAGCTAAAGACATGTATTGGGCAAGACTTGTATACTGAGGACCTCTTTTTGGGTTTTGGCTCACCTGACAGGGTTTATTTATAGAGGCACTTCGATTACAGCAGCTGCCAAAAACACTGAAGATGAAATACTAAGTGATGTCCAGCAAAGGTGTTCAGGACACAGATAAACTCAACAGTGCCACAGTATCCTGAGGAGAACCTCATGCCCAAGAGCACAAGCTGTAATGGAAGGAGATGATATACAACATGTTCATCTCCTACTAATGACTTGTAAGGTGCTGTCTGCTTCAGGTCATATTCTTGTACTACACAGCACAGGAACATCCTCACAGTGTGCAACATCCTCACAAAACTAATCACCTTGTCAAGGTTCAGCAGGGGCCCAGAAATACAAAGTGCTTTGCACAACAGTGTCAGGATTGCACAGGCATTGATGAATAATCTATACCAACCCTCAGTTTCTGCAGGGAACTTAGCCTGGTGTAGAGGCAGTGTTTGGGAAGGTCCTTTGAGACTAAATAGCTTCCAGTTTCCTCAGGAGTTCCTCTGTTTGCCTCTTTAGGATCCACATCCAGGTCCTTTTGCAAGAAAGAAAAGATGCAGTTTGACATGGACAGAGCATGCAATATTCAGCTGCAGGGGAGGGAGAATACCAAGACACCAAGAGGGAGCACTTACTAGTGCAAAGTCTGTAACATAAGCTCTGCAAACCACTATCTCAGGTGGCTGCTTTACTATCCGTGTGTAGATGATCATGACGTTGGAAAACTCGGCTGCAAACCCCAACTGGATCTGAACTCCACACTTGAATTCCAGGTACATGCTTTCTGGAAGCTCTGCAAATAAATAACACAAACCTTAGCCTTAGCCTGTGTGTTTTCTATTTACTATGGGTTTCAAAGTGTAGACCTCTTCCTGCTGCCCTCCTCTACCTCTCACTACACATTTACACAGACATTGCCAGAGAGCTGCCTCACCTTCACCAGAGCTGCCTCATCATAGACATACCTTTATACACATAAAGGTTATTCTCTTCTCAAATTCCAAACATATTCTCTTCTGTGGCTTAAAACAAACCATGACATTATGTCTTGGTAATCTTTGCTTTGCATTTCAATCATGTAACACCCAAGAATTAAGGGCTGACACCACAAATAAGAATCCTTGTCTGTGATAGAGGCTGCTTCCACCAGCAGTTGTCCTAAAAATGCCACCCCTGCCCCTCTGCCCAGTCAGAGAGATTTTAAGAGGTACCCCAACATGTTCAGGTGAAAAGAAGGCCTTAAACCCCACTACCCTTCTATGGGGGCAGCCTGGACCTGATCTCACCTTTGTTTTAGTTGGAAACACTGAAAACTCCTTTTCGTCATGCACTTTCCATCCAGTTCACCCAGCTAGTTTAGGTGTGGACTTCAGAATGAGACTAATGATGTCTTAGAAGTGTCACTGTTAGACACAAAGAGACTACTGGGAGATTAGCCCAGGAGGAGACATCATACATGTCTCCCCTACGGTGTTTGAGTGGTCTGAAGCGCACTTCCTCAGGATGAATTCTACATGTCACCTTGTTCATGACAATCTCATGTAGAGCTGAACCCCACCACAAAAATGTCCCAGATCTGAACATTCAGATATGAACTTGAGTTTCTTCCATTTCCATTCAATATCACAGCCCACAGACAAGAGGTTATTAAGGAAGCACATCCTCTTATCCTCCACCATCAGCCAAAAGCAGACAGTCCCATACCATGAGCTTTGGCCCACTGGAGGTTCCGTGCCAGGGTCTCTGCAGAAGATCCAGTCTGTTGGATGGGATCAGTCAGTGCCCTCTTCTCGGACAGACTGCTGCGGATCTCCAGAGCCTGCTTGCCTTTGGTAAGGTGACACTTGCCCATATCTAAAATGAGATGCACAGAGTTTCTATCAAAATGAACACTGCTGAAACTCTCAACTGAATTGAATACGTTGCTGTGGTTATGCCACTGTCAGCACATCCATAAAAACATGTCCTTTCAGAAGCATTCATTGCTCAGCTATTCATCACTTCAGGCTAAAGCAGCGTGCCAGGTGCCTGCAGAGGATTTCTATGTGTCCTACTCAATGTGCTCACATGTTCTTCAAAACCAGCCCCAGCAGTATCCCAGCTCTGATTCAGTAAGGTCCCAACTGAAGTGACTCATTGCAAGCATGTGAATAACCCCATTGGAGAGGATTTCTAAAGAACTGGAGGCAAGCAGAGTATTTTTGAGCATTGGAACCAGATGGTCTTTCAGATCCCTTCCAACCCATCCTATGACTTTAGGGGTCAATATTGGTTATTTAACATCACCATTAATGACCTGGTGACAGGACAGTGCAGGTAATTGAAAACTGAGAGGAGTGGCTCATACACCAAAGGGTTGTGCTGGCTCCAGAGGGACCTGACAGGCTGGAGAACTGGGCAGAGAGGAATCTCACGGAGTTCAACGATGAGAACACCCCAAGTCCTGTGCCTGGGCAGGAATAACCCTGTGCACTGGTACTGAGAGGGGACAGGCTTGCTGGAAAGCAGCTCTGGGAAGACCTTGGGGACCTGGTGGGCATCAAGCCAGCAATGATTCTTATGCCAAAGGCACCCAGCAGGCACTGACCATTCACATGAAGGTTCTTTACATGGAACATTTTGACTGTGAACATTCCTTTGGAACGTTTTCAAGTGCCATCAGAGCACTCCCAACACCCAATATCTAGTAATGGTGACAGCAATGGTTGTCACACTGCCTGACAGATCAATCCTTCTCTCCACTCTGAGTTCAAGGATGAGATAAGCAATAGGTCACACAGAACATCTCCAGCATGTGACATTAGCCTGGCAGTACAGACAAAGCAAGAAGAGGCAGCTGGATTTTACTCCTGCTTTGAACAGGCTGATGGGGAGAACATGGGATAAAAACTAAGGATATACATTTACTACTGATGCTAGGATGACTGGATTGCAGGGTTCTGTTCTCACACACGAGTGTCAGAACATTCCGGAAGGCAAGAAAGATGAAAGAGAGGGTTTAAGTTCTTCCCTTCTATTTAGGTGATGGTAAAAGTGAGTAGTACTATAAGCAAAGTACAAAACTCAATGCAAGCAGCACTCTGCTGACTGTACCTGTCAGAGGGAGCAAATGCCACTGCCCCATTAAGCAGACAAACAAA